CCCAGTGAGGACAACGTCGCTCCGTCCTCCAAGCACAAGCCCCATACCCGACGTACTGCACAAGTAGCGCAACACCCTCTTAGCGGCATCCATGTGCTCCTTCCGGTGACGGCCGGGAGCGACATAGCGTGCTAGGATTCTAAGAGGGTATGCAAGGTCACGTCGAGCGCAGGTCATCAGGTACATGAGGCAGCCCACAAGCTCTGGATACGGGCCACTCGACTCTACGGACTCATTCGAAGGCACAGCTGAGAGCGAGTGACCGGTAGGCAGAGGAGTGGACTTAGGCGAGGAGTACGTGAAGCGGAAGCGCTGAAGGACCTGCTGCACCATGTGTGACTGAGTCAAGGTGATGGTGCGCTGTGCTCTGTCGCGGGTGATCTGCACGCCAAGATAGCTTGTCAGCTCACCCAGGTCTGTACACGTGTGTCTCTTCTACAGCTCCGACTTCACGTGGGCGAGTGCCTCAGTTTCAGCAGTAGCAAAGACCAGGTCGTCCACGTACACGAGAACGTAGAACGGCGGCAAAGTGGTGTCGGTGCGTAGAAACAGCGACGGGTCAGCGGTAGAAGGAGCAAACCCAAGAGCAGCAAGAGCAGCCCTCAGTGTGTCGTGCCACTCACGGGGTGCCTGGCGGAGACTGTGGACTGGCCGCTGGAGGCTCCACTGGGTACCAGGAGGGAACAAACCAGTGAATCCAGGTGGGCGGCGCAGCCAGATCTCCTCGTGCAGGCTGCCCTGTAGGAAAGCTGTGCTGAAGTCAAAAGAGTGGAGCTCGTAGTCACGCTGAGCGGCGACGTGCAGCAGAACCCGAAGAGTGGTCATCTTCGGGGTCGGGGAGAAGGTCTGGAAGAAGTCAACTCCCTCTCGCTGATTGAAGCCTCGTGCAACGTAACGCGCCTTGAAGACAGGCGGAGAACCCGGCGGCCGCTTCACCCTGAAAATCCACATGCCACTGACGATGTTCGCCCCAGGTGGGGGAACCTCGTCAACGTAGGTGCCTGTGGACTTCCAGGAAGCCATCTCTGCGTCCATGGCTGTCTGCCACTGAGAGGAGTAGGGACCCTCTATTGCCTCTGAGTAAGAGCGCATGGTCGGGATGTCTGGTGCATCCGGGTCTCCCTCAGGGGCAATCAGCATGGACACGAGATGAGGTCAAGCACTCAAACTCCTCCTGTCTGTCCTCAAGGACGTCCGTGCCAAGAGCACACTCACCCCCGACGGACGGAGGACAGATAGACTCAGACTCAGTTACAAGGCTAGCGGCGTAGTCTAGACGACAGGCGGCAGCAAAGTCAACTAACTCAGCGACTAGAGCAGACGCAGCATGGTCAGTCGCAGCACCCCCACGCTCAGCACCCCCAGACTCAGCACCCTCAGGCTCAGCACCCCCAGACTCAGCATCCGCAGGCTCAGCACCCCCAGACTCAGCACCTTCAGGCTCAGCACCCCCAGCACCCGCAGGCTCAGCACCCCCAGGCTCCGTACGCTCAGGCTCAGCACCCCCAGGCTCCTCACGCTCAGGCTCAGCACCCCTAGCAGGACGAGAGTCGACCGCTACCTCGACAGGCTCAACCGGGTCCACCTGGGACACACCGGAGGGAGCGGCAACCTACTGCTAGGCGTGCTCGGGCGGTGGTATCGGCTGTAGTTGACCCGCCTTCCGTTTCCTCGAGCTCTTCATCACCTGACACGTGGGGCACGAGCCCACGTGCTGCTGCACGTCGGTCAACAGCTCCGGCCAATAGTAATAGCGCTGCAGTTGCTGTCGCGTTTTTTCTACCCCAAAATGTCCCGAGGTAATTCCGTCGTGTGCCTCCTTCAGTAACAGCTCCCTCAGTTGTGGGTACGCGGGTACCCAGATGTGGTTGATGCCTGCTTTTACGTAATAAACTTCTTTAGCTTCTGCCAGTTGCTGTGAATTTCCGGTCGTGAAAAATGGGTCAGTGCGATCTCCGTGGGTGAATAGGCCTGTTAATAGCGGGTTGGTTTGGGCGAGATGGATGGCATGGAGTTGGGCGGTAGGGCGGGTGAGTTCGTCAGCGATGTTGGATGCGCCTTTCTTGTACGTAAGCGTGTAGTGGAAGTTGGACTCGAGGTAGTCCAACCAGCGAATCTGTCGCGGATTGAGATTTGGTTGGGCACGCAGGTACTGTCCGTAATGTCACGTCGGCGCCAGTCTGTTAACACCGCCAAACCTTGAACGCGTGCACGATCGCCAACATTTCGCGGTCGTGTATCGGGTAGTTGCGTTCGGGCGGGTACAGCTTGCGGGACTCGTACGCGATTGGCTGGAGGCCGTTCCCGAAATCCTGCAACAGTACTGCTCCCACAGCGATGTCACTTGCGTCGGTGACGAGCTCGAACGGACTGTGTGGATCTGCGATGTGAAGCACGAGCGGTGAGCACAAAATGTTTTTGAGGGCCGAGAAGGCAGCTTGCTCTTTCTCCCCCCACGTGTACTCAACCCCCTTCCTCAGCAGGTCGGTCAGCGGGGCAGTCAGCTTCGCCATGTCGGGGACGAACCGGCGCACGTAGTTGACGAACCCCATAAAACTCTGCAACTCGGTCAAGTTGGTCGGCGCGTGCCATGCTTGAATCGTCGCAATTTGTTTCGGGTCTATTTCCACTCCTGCAGCTGAAATAATGTGTCCCAAAAACTCCAGCCGGTCCTGTAAAAACTCACACTTCAACGCTCTTGTGAGTAGGCGGTTCTCAATCAGTATCTTAAAAACTACTTCGATGTCCTGTAAGTGCTGTGCTCTGTCAGGGCTGTAAATCAGTATGTCGTCCAGGTATATGTGAAAGAAATGAGGAATGAATGAGCTAGCACAAGGTTGGGTACAAGTAGGAAACCCTAGGAAACTGTACCCCATAGTGTCTACCCCACTATAGCCTAGACAAGCTATATGATATGAGTTTGACACACCCCCATAGGCAAAGTGGGGGAGAACAAGAGGTCACAAGACCAGTCAAGCAAAGCAAAACAAGCTCAGGGTGGATCACAACGTCACCACCCATTCCGAGCACAAGAGCAAAGCCACAAGGCCAGTTCACATGCAAGATCATATATAAAGGTAAACAAGCAAGTGCAGGTATAGAAAGATCACAGTACAAGCAAGGTCAAGAAGTGAGCAAGTGAGGCCAAGAAGGCACAAGACCTAGCATCGTACAGAAATGCTAATGATCACCAGGCGGAAGCGCCTGTGTAAAGATATCAGCAGTGTTGGCCTGAGAAGCCACGTAAGCAAGGCGCAGCTGACCACGCTGCTGCAGCTCACGAGCAAGGAAGTAGCGGAGAGCAATGTGCTTCGTTTTTGCTCCAGTCTGTGCTCCCGACACAAGGCTAGCATGGCCTTGTTGTCTACGTACAGAACTGGAGGAGAACGAGGCGGCTCTCCTAGGTCAGTCGGCAGGTAGGTGAGCCAGCGTAGCTCGTGTGCAGCCATGGCCCCGGCGTAGATCTCAGCCTCACAGCTGGAGCCAAGAACAGAAGACGAGCGGGTAGACCGCCACGAAACAGAGCCGGAACCAAGGCTGAAGGTGTAACCCTGTGACGACCGCTGCGTAGCCTGGTCGTCAGCCCAAGAAGCATCTGCGTGACCTGTGAGGACCACTCGACGTCGCCCTTCAAGCACTAGCCCCATGCCCGACGTACTGCACAAGTAGCGCAACACCCTCTTCGCTGCAGCCATGTGCTCTGGTCGGTGTCTCCCAGGAGCAACATAGCGTGCCAAGATGCTAAGAGGGCTGCGAGGGGCCGCGAAAGGGGCGGCGACGGGGCCGCGAAGGGGCCGCGAGGGGCCTGGAAGGGCGGCAACGGGGCCGCGAAGGGGCTGCGAGGGGCTAGGAAGGGCGGCAACGGGGCCGCTAAGAGAAGCGCGAGGGGCACGCCACGGGGCGTGCCGACTCTCACATACCTTTCCTAGCCCAACCCTTCCCCCACATTGCCCGCTCTTACCCTAGTCCAGCCCCACTCCCCTCTCGAGCCCCATGCCTCACAGTCCTGTCCACTAACGTGCAGTCTAATGCAACGCTGCTGCATCATCAAGATGCAAGTTGCAACATCAAACGCGGAAAAAAAAATCGTCTGAGATTTCAGACATGCAATGGAATTTCATCTGAAAAGACAGACACGCGAAAATTTCCCGTCCGAACATCAGACGAAACAGATTTTTGGGTTTAGGTTTTTCAGACAGGCCAAAATCCTAGCGAGAGCCCTGGTGCGGAGATGCGCGGTCCGAAAAAAAAGAGGCTCTAAATACCAAGTGTTAAGGGTGCAATGGATCGAGGTAGCGAGGATTGCACTCAGGTGTCAAACGAGTACAAAATGTGAGCGAAGGCATGAGCGAACATTTATACGCGAAATATGCAAACCGTAACGCGGTGCGTGCGAGCTAGTTAGTGCTATGTTGGCAGCGAGGCTCGGGCTAGTCCCGAAGCATAGGCCGACACGGCCGGTCCAGCAGTGCGAGGTTTGGCAAAATAGTGCGCGCGAAGTTGGCAAAGCCCCGTTAGCAGTAACGGGCGAACAACGGCTGTTGCTGTACGCGATGGAGTCGGACTCGGTAAGGAATGCCGAGAAAATTCCTTACAGGGGAGAAGTGTGTTGAGAGAAGGTCATCGTTGTTTTTGCCAGGTCAAATGTGATTAGCACCAGTGTAACTTGCTGAATGACAATGTTTCCCATGCCACTGGTGATTCTCCACATTATCATACAAAAACCAAAATCACACTATACATAACTGGAACAATCCACCATTCAAATCACTCACCAGCACCACACACATTCCTCACTTATTTCAGACTCTCATTATCTTTGCACAAATATAATCGAAGGGATGACTCACGGAATCTGCTCAAAGCCACAGGGGGGCAACACGAGGATCCGCTAGCTGCTGAAACTAAATCAGGGCCCTTCACCAATCCTTAGGACATCTCCATAGAGGGCCTTTTGAGACACTTGAATTCTGAAGAGTAGTGGTACCTTTGGAACTTAATTAAGAGCTGAGGCTCCTGGACTGCTCTGCCAGCAGCAGGTCGGTGTCAAGGTCATCCGCAATGACTATGGACGGTGCCTTCTTAAATATCTGCAGAGCGTGGGTAGCAGGAGGGAGAACGGGGGGAACTTTTGAGCCGACTGGAAAGGCTCCTCTCTTAGCGGGCTCTGCGAGGAGCGGGTCCGCGTCAAGGTCATCCGCAATGGCAATGGACTGCGCCTTCTTCAATATCTGCACACTGCGGGATCCAGGGGGGGAATGAGGGACTTCTGGACTGCTCTGCCAGCAACAGGTCAGCATCATGGTCATCCGCGCCTTCTTGAATCTTTGCACAGTGCACTGGGGGAGCAGGGAGAAATGAAGGGAGGCTTCTGAGGCGGCTCAATAGCAGGTCGGTGTCGCAATGGCAATGGACGGCGACTTCTTCAATATCTGCAAATGTGGGGTGCAGGGGGGAGGAACGCGGGGGGGGGGGGGGGGGGGGGGGGGGGGGGGGGGGGGGGGGGGGGGGGGGGGGGGGCTTTTGTGTCGACCCAAAGGCTCCTGGCTGGCTCTCTAGGAATGCATTGGCTCTCTCTAGGCTCTCTGGTCTATAGGTCATCCGTAATGCCAATGGGCAGGGCCATCTGAAATATCTGCACACCGCGGTGTTCAGGGGGGAAGAACGGGGGGAGGGGGGAGAGTGGGGGAGAGGGGGGGGGGGAGAGTGAGGGGAGAGTGGGGAAAGAGTGGGGGGAGAGTGGGGCGAGAGTGGGGGGAAAGTGGGGGGAGGGGGGGGGGAAGAGAAAGAAGGCGCATATGGGTTGGGAGGTTAACAGAAGAGGCAAACATGGTGCATAAGGGCAGGAGGTTAGCAGAAGAGAAACATGGTGCATAAGGGCTGGTGGTTGAAGAAATGAGAAATCACGGTGCACATGAGACGCGCGGCATTGTGGGGGGAAATTGGGTGAGGGTGGTGAGAGAAGAAGCGACAACAAGCAAGGGGGGGACAAACCTGGATCCAACATTTCGAGGGCATCGAATTGATGAGAGCAATGAACATGACCTCTGAACCCGGGGTGAATTCAAGAACTAGGGTCGGAGCGCTAGGGTCGGAGCGCTAGGATCGGAGCGCTAGGTTTGGAGTGCTAGGGTCGGAGCGCTAGGTTCGGAGTGCTAGGGTCGGAGCGCTAGGATCGGAGCGCTAGGGTCGGAGCGCGCGTTGGAGGTACCTTGTGGAAGTACTCAAGCTCGCCCCGTGCCGCCCACCCACTTCTCCCGAGACACGTCCTGCACCACCCCTGTAATCCTAAATCCTAATCCCAAACCCCAAGCACAAGGCCCCAGGGTGGAGGTACCTTGTGGAAGTACTCAAGCTCGCCCCGTGCCGCCCACATCTCCAGAGACACGTCCTGTGCCGCCCCTGTGAGGGGATCCACTGCCGGGGTCACCGCCTGAAGGTGTTGGGAGGGGTGGAGGGCGGTGGGAAGGAATAGCGGGGGAGAGGTGAGTGTGGAGAGCGGTGGTGTGGTGTGCAGCCCAATCCACATCTCCAGAGACACGTCCTGCGCCGCCCCTGTGAGGGGATCCACTGCTGGGGTCACCGCCTGGAGGTGATGAGAAGGGGCGGTGGGGAGGGGTGACAGGGGAAAAGAGGGGATGTAGAGGGGTGACACAGGATTTTCAGGGGAAAAGAGGGGATGCAGAGGGGTGACAAAGGGCCACGGCAACGCGCATGATGCAGAGCGGAATACTCGCTATGAACACACCTGTTACAAGTGCAAATGCACACACACTCACCAGCACATATGAGTCGTCGTCCTGCAGCACGAGCACGCTCGCAGCAGCACCCGTGTAGCAGCGATCGAGCGCCACGGGCGATGCGCACGATGCACATTATTGTACGCATTGTGAGCAAACTCGCCTCTCGTTATAAGCGTATACTCACCAGCACGCATGAGTCGTCGTCCTGCAGCACGAGCACGCTCGCAGCAGCGCCCGTGTAGCATCGATCGAGCGCCACAGCGATGCGCATGATGGCACAGAGCCACATGTACTCGCTATATATAAGCCCACCCGTCACAGAACACACTCACCAGCACACAAGAGTCGTCGTCCTGCAGCACGAGCACGCTCGCAGCAGCGCCCGTGTAGCAGCGATCAAGGGCTACAGCGATGCGCATGATGGCGCAGAGGGCTCGGATCTTCTGCTGCACCACGGGGGGCAGCTTGGCAAAGTCCTCGTCCTTGGTGGAGGGTGGGCGCTTGCGGTGGTGGCGTACTAGCAGGGCAATCATCTGATGGGGTGGGGAGTGAGGGGGGTGAGTGAGGGACCAGGGCAATGGGAGGCAGGTTGATAATCAGGGGGCAGCTTGGCCAAGTCCTCATCCTTGGTGGATGGCGGGCGCTTGCAGTGGTGGCGCATGAGAAGGGTGACCATCTGGTGAGGAAAAGGGGGGCAGGTTGGAAGCGGAAAGGGGGACCATTGGAAGGTGGGGAGGAGGGAAGGGAGGAAGGGATCATTCTGAGACTTCCCAAGACTTGCTTGTGTGGCAGAACAGGGGGGAAGAGAGACGGGGAGCCGTTGCATAAGCATGCGAAAGACACAACATGCGCCCCATGCCCCATGCCCCATGTTCCATGCCCCCAATGCCCCATGCCCAGTGCCCCGTGTCCCGCCATTCATGTGTGTTCCGCTCACCTCGACTTCCATGGGTGAGTACCCCAGCAGCTGCTCTGAATGCTGCGTGCCCCACTGCCACACCCCGCCACCCACGCCCCATGCTCCGCCCCCCTACCCCCCATGCTCCGCCCCCCTACCCCCCATGCTCCGCCCCCCTACCCCCCATGCTCCGCCCCCCTACCCCCCATGCTCCGCCCCCCTACCCCCCATGCTCCGCCCCCCTACCCCCCATGCTCCGCCCCCCTACCCCCCATGCTCCGCCCCCCTACCCCCCATGCTCCGCCCCCCTACCCCCCATGCTCCGCCCCCCTACCCCCCATGCTAGTCATGTGTTTCCGCTCACCTCGACTTCCATGGGTGAGTACCCCAGCAGCTGCTCCGAATGCTGCACGACATGGGTTTCAGGGAGAGAATGAGCAGAGGGATGGAAGCGTAAGGGGAAAAAAAGGGGGGTGGGGGGGGAAGAAAAGGTGGGAGGGATTCATCGTTTGGAAACGGATGGGCGAGAAGCTGCTGCGCGAATGCTGCAAGAGATGACTTTTGAGTCGACTCAAAAGTCACCACGTTTGGAAGCTGATGGGCGAGAAGCTGCTGCGCGAATGCTGCAAGAGGTGACTTTTGAGTCGACTCAAAAGTCACCACGTTTGGAAGCTGATGGGCGTGAAGCTGCTACGAACGCTGCAAGACCTGGGGTTCTGCGGAACGGTGAAGGGCGGAGGGGCGGAAGGGGAGGAGGGGTTGTGCGGGTCGGACGGGCGGCGAGCAGAGGAAGGGTGGGGGTCAGAAGGGCGGCGAGCAGAGGAAGGGTGGGGAAGAGCTTGGGAAAAGATGGAAGAGTTTGGGGTTCAAATAGAGAAAAGGTTGAGGGATGAAGGAGAGGAAAAGGGGGGAAGTGGGGAGGCAAGGCATGGCGACATGGCGGCATGGTGGCATGTCGGCAGGCAACCAGTTTGTGCTTGAGTAACCAGGGCAACCAGTTTGTGCTTGAGTAACCAGGGCAACCAGTTTGTGCTTGAGTAACCAGGTCAACCTTTTTACCGTACCTTAATCAAGTAGTACGAGTGCTTGTGGTAGCCCTTGTGGGAGATGAACATGCCCACATAGTGCAGCACTGTGGCCGCCTCCAGCACCTCGAAATCGTTGCCGTCCAAAAGAGCCATCATCGGCGACACGCAATCTGAGCCGCCCATCTTGCACGTCTGCATACCTGCCAGGATTTGCTGCGGAGAGGAAGCAAAAGAAACGGGGAGAGGCGGGGGGGAAGGGGCATGTGAGGAGGAGAGTGATTGGAGATAGGACAAAAGATGCAATCTGAGCCGCCCATCTTGCACGTCTGCATGCTCACCAGGATTTGCTGCAGAGAGGAAGAATTACCAAGTGGGGAGAGACGGGGAGGGGGAGACGGGAAGGGGAGACGGGGAGGGGGGGACCGGGGGGGGGGAAGAGTCAGTGAAGGTGAGAGGGGGAGACGGCGAGACAGAGACATAACGTCCACAATCACGCCCTCCCTCAGCGCTGATTTATGCGCCTCAAAGAGGCGCGTACACAGACACCCCCTCACTCACCCCACACCCGCATCTTCTCAATCCCCATCGCTCTCTCTCCCTCACTCACCCACACCCCATCGCTCTCTCCCTCTCTCACTTACCCCACTCTCTCCATCCCTCTCCACATTGATCCCTCTCACCCGCGCCAGGCGAGCACAGTGCAAAGCTGACTCTTTCCTAAACCCGGTGTTGAACTTCCCGGCCATCTTCAGCACAGCACAACGCTCCTTCTCAGGTCCCCTCAGAGAGGCACTGCACGGCCCCTGACAGCTGCTTACATGAACTTTCACACGTGGCTAATTCGAGTTAAGGGGTTTCTTGTACTACTTCGATTTCTGAAAAAGTTTTTTACAATTTCGTTCCTTACAGTTGCTTAAGCGTTTTCTTCAGGATTTGCAGCTATTCCGATATGAGTTTGGACAGCTGCTTACATGAACTTTCGCACGTGGCTCACCTGGGCCAGGCGCGCGCAGTGCTTAGCCGACTCCTTTCGCAGCCCAGTATTAAACTTCCCGGCCATCTTCAGCACCGAGCTCCTCCGCAAGTCAGGAGTGATGCTGAAGTCCGTGAAGGTGCGAGACAGAGTGTCCACAATCACGCCCTCCCTCAGAGCATACGGAGACACGCGCATCTTTTCAATCCCCATGGCCAAAAAGATCTCCTCCAGGAGAATCGCGCCGCCCAGGATCACGTCCGCGCGCTTCTCGGGCAGCCCGGGCAGCTTCGCGCGCGCGTCCGGGGTTTTTGCCTTGCAGATCTTCTTAACCACGGCGGAGAGCTCTTCCAGGGTGAATTCACGGTCCTTCAGGTCGGCCAGGCGCCGCAGAACAGCCTGTGGTGGGGTTGTAGGCAGAGAGGGGATGCACAATTGGGTTGCAGATCTTCTTAACCACGGCGGAGAGCTCTTCCAGGGCGAATTCTCGGTCCTTCAGGTCGGCCAGGCGGCGCAGAACAGCCTGTGGTGGGGGTGGGGGTGGGGGTGGCAAGAAAGGGAAGCAAAGAAGTGGGTTTTGAGGGGATGGCAGAGAGGTCATCGAGGGTGAACTCACGGTCCTTCAGGTCTGCTAGGCGGCGCAGAACAGCCTGTGGTGGGGGTGGTGGTGGCAAGAAAAGGAAGAATCCAAGTGGGTTCTGAATTGTTTTTGGCCTTGCAGGTCTTCTTGACCACGGCAAAGAGCCTTTCGAGGGTGAACTCCCGGTCCTTGAAGTCTGCTAGGCGCTGCAGGACAGCCTGCGAGGGGGGGTGTAATTAGGTAGGTAGGGTAGGCAAAGAGGGGATGGACAATTGGGTTGCAGATTTTCTTGACCACAGCGGAGAGCTCTTCCAGGGTGAACTCACGGCCTTTTTTGTCTGATAGGCGCCGCAGAACAGCCTGTCACAGGTTGTACTGTAGGTAGCAGTGGGAAGGCAGAGAGGGAATGAACAAGTTGGTTGTGAGGCGTTTTGGCCATGCAGGTCTTCCTGACCACAGCGGAGAGCTCTTCCAGGGTGAATTCCCGGTCTTTGTTGTCTGCTAGGCGCTGCAGAACTCTTCAATTCTCACCTCTTGATTCTGCATGACTCCACTGAGTCCCCCTCCTCCCCCTCCTCCTTTCCCACCGCCACCGCTGCTCCTCCCGCTCTGCGCCCCGGCTGCTACCAAGGAGCCATTGCTCCCGCTCCCACTGCTGCTGCTGCCGCTGCTGGTGCTGGCAGTGGCGATGGTTGCAGCGCTGCCCGTGCTAATGGTACCGCTGGCCCGCGATTGGTGGATCATCTGCTCGATTGTTTCAATGGTGCCCGAACTACCTATTGACAGTTCTATTTCGTTCTCGGCCCTGCAGAAATAACAAACAAACAAACAATCAAGCGTTGAAGATGCCCTTTGATTAGCCGCAAGCACTGTTTCCTTCGAGCCTTGCAAGATAAGGGCAAAACAACAAAAACAGAGCAGGCGAAACAAGTAGCAGACAGAATAAATAGGTTGCGTCCACCTTGCGGCATACCCAAACCAGTCACCAGCACTCGCACTTTTCCTCTGGTTTGTGCACCACACTTCACCGCAAAGCATCTCTACTCACTCACTCCCACTCACCCTTTCACCACCTCCAGCACGCCCGAGTCGGCCAGCAGCACGCGCACGTATCGCCGCATCTCCAGAATCTGCTGACTCTTGGACAGCCCACCCGCTGGGGAAGAGGACAGGAGCGGGTGGACAGGGGACGAGGAGAGGAGCGGAAAGGCAAGGGACGAGAAGAGGAAGGGAGGAGGGAGCGTCAATGATGACAGGGATGAGGGGAGAGAGGGAGGAGGGAGTGGACGAAAGGAAGGGAGGGATATATCACAGACAAGCGCTCACTCTGACTAGGGACCAAATTTTTCTCCCCTTCACGGTGTCTTAATCTTGCCTAAGTGGGCAACTAGTGCTGTGTCAAGCATGTTCTTTGATGATTCGTTTTATTGTATTCTGAAAAAGGTTGCACGTGCTGTTTCAACACCATCCTCGTTACAAGCACACACACTCACATGCAAACTTCTCGGTGAGGCGAATGTGGCCCAGCTTGAGTGACGTGGCAAAGAGCGGCTTGCCCTCCCGACCAATCACAAATTCCGTTGACCCGCCTCCAATGTCGACCGTGAGCACCGTCTTGTGATACACTGGGAGGGCCTGGGGGGTGGGGGAAGGGGAGGGATGGGGAGGGAGGGGAGGGATGAGCGGGAGGGGGGTGAGAGTGAGTGCAGCTTCCGCCTCCAATGTCGACTGTGAGCACCGTCTTGTGATACACTGGGAGGGCCTGGGGGAGAGAGATGGTGAAAGGGGAGGAAAAGAGAATAAGAGAAGGTGAGCGAGTGAGTGTACGAGTTTATGACCCGCCTCCAATGCCCACAGTCAGCACTGTCATGTGGTTCCCTGGGAGGGCCTGGGGGGAACGAGGAGGGGAAGAAGAAAAACGGGAGCGCAAGGAATAGGGCCTTTTATTAAGGGGAGAGCGAATGCAACCTCCGCCTCCTATGTCCACCGTGATTTGAGACGTCTCAAAACACTTCTTCAATCACGCCTCCTATGTCCACCGTGAGCACCTTCTTGAGGTCACTGGGAGGACCTGGGAGAGAGAGAGAGAGAGTGGAATGGGGAAGTGAGAGAAATGGAGAGAAAGTGGGCGAGTGAGTGCAAGAGTGCATGAGCCGCCTCCTATGTCCACCGTCAGCACTGTCTTGATATACACTGGGAGGGCCTGGGGGGAACGAGGAGGGTGGGGAATGCAGAGGGAGGGGGAGGGTGAAGGGGAGTGGGCGGAGAACAGACCTGTTGAATACCAGAGTAGCTGAGGTAGGTCTTGTCTTGTTTGGCCAAATGGCACCTCCATGCCAACCCCAGTGGTGCCCAGCAGCCAGGGGACGGGCGGGGAGGCAAGGGGGATAAGGGCGCAAGGGGGCCAGGGGGACAGGAGGCCAGAGTACGGACCTGGAGAATACCGAGGTAGATAAGGCAGGCTTCTTCCTGGCCGGATAGCACCTCCACGTCGATCCCGGTGGTGTCCAGCACGCGGCGCACGAACGACCGTCGGTTGCGCGCCTCGCGCACTGCTGACGTGGCAACGACGCGCATCGCCGCGCCACGCGTTTTCGCGATCTGCTTCAGCCGTCGCACGGCCGCCAGCGCGCGCTCCTCCGCCTCGGGGGTGATCACAGCGAACCCGGAACTGCCACGTGTCCAACGGGGAATGAATCAGGTGAGTCAGCAGCTCGACACAGTCAGCAGCAGTTGGAACGAGGAAACAAGGTAGGTAACTGTGATCTTCAAGAACGTGACATGTTTCGGAACTATAGATACTAGCCCAAAGAAAGGCGGGTTTGGAATTAAGGGATTTGAAACGACTGCCACGTGACAATCGCCTAAGAGATTGATTTACGTGTTCCATCTTCGTGGAGCCGTCACGCCTCGATTAACCTGACCCGGATATAAACATTCGCATACTGCCGTGTCACGCGTCCTTCATGTTTTAAACGATTCAATCCGTAAACACCGCGATGCTATCGGAACAGTGCAATACCTGCCGCTGCCGAGGCGCACGTCCTCCTTCTCCACGTCCTCGATCTCGAAGCGCCCCTTGTTGTCGGCTTTAACGACGACCATGTGGAACGAGTTGGTGCCCATGTCCACCGCCGCTAGCATCCGCTGCTCCTGCTCCGGCACTGAGAGGGGGTAAGGGCGCGCGCGCGGAGAGGGAAAAGGGTGCGCGCGCGGAGAGGGCAAAAGGTCGCGCGGGGAGGGGAAATGGCGCGCGGAGATGGGGAAGGACGCGCGTAGAGCGGGACGGGTGAGTTTGAGAATTTTCAAGCATGACTCCCAACATAACGACGACCATGTGGAACGAGTTGGTGCCCATGTCCACTGCCGCAAGCATCCGCTGCTCCTGCTCCAGCACTGCGCGGAAAGGGGAGATACGCGCGCGCGCGCGGAGAGGGAAAATGACGATCAGAGAGGGGGAAGGACGCGCGGAGAAGGGGACGGACGCACATGCTAAGGAGGCCAGGTGAATGACGACAACGACAGCGCACCTCGTCGAATTTTCGGGATTGCCGCGATGCCGTCCACCTCTTCCTCGTCGTCGCTCAGCTCGCCGCCACGCGCCGTCCGCAACAGCTGGCGGCTCATCATTGGTCCCACGTGTCCGCCGTCCTCCCCTTCCTCCACGTCCACCCCCACCGACACCGTCCCTTGCTGCGCCGACTCCGCAGATCCCGCCGCGGTTCCCGCCGCGGAGGATTGAACGGCGCGGCGCGCGCCGCCGGTGGCGGCGAACGCAGCGGCATTGGCGGAAGGAGCAGGCCAGCAGGGGAGGTTAGGTAAAGGCGCATCGAAATAAGACTTGCGGGTGACGGAGGGAGGGCTTGAGGAGTGAGGGGAAGTAGATGGTAAGGAGGAGAGAGAAGGGGGAGATGAGGAGGAGGACGAGGAAGCGGAGGAAGAGGAGGGAGAGGGTGAAGCAGATGCACGTGGCACGATTTTGACTGCTCGTCTGCTGGCGACAAGCGGCTGACTGCGGAAAGAAGCTCCGCCGCTGCCTAATTTACGGCGGCTCGAACGCAGCGAGCCATGCTCGGTTGATAGTAGGTGAAACGAGCCTTGCTCGATTGGGAGCGGGTGTACAGATTGAATGACAACCATTCCGGCGAATTGAAAGTCAGAATGCGCTGGGAGAATCGCCGGGAAACACCCGAGGGAGCTCGGCTGGAGCTGCAAAACACGCGGCTAGGAGCGGGATAGAAAATGAGTAATGCGCAGATAACGCTATGAACATTAGTGAAGGCTTTTTACGACTGAGGGCCGAGTGACAGGAGTGGAGTGCAGTGCATTGACGCTACTTGTGAAGCAATTAGGAACGGTGACGATGATGCTCCACAACGGTTATGGCCTTTTTCTGATCGTTGCACCCTTTGATTTTGCGGCTGCGGCTGGGCGGGTGACGGGTCCGAACCCGTCCCATCTCTCGCTCTGCTGCTCTTGGTGGTCCGCCCGTTGTGTGCTGCTGCTCCCCGCGCATCAAAATAGCCAATCCGACGGGGCCACGGAGGACCCCCTCTTCATCCCTTGCACCCGCGAGTCGCGTGTTTCCGCCCGCTGCCACGGCAGGACACCTCAGCGCCAAGGCCTGATTGGCTCAACTTCACTGTTGCGATGAAGTATAGCTAGGCTTGGCACAGGTTTGACAAGCCTGGGTCAAGACGGGACCTCAAAGTCGTGTTCACAACCAATGTGTGGACTTTTCGAGGTACCACCCTCACGTAAAACGGTGCACAAAAGTAACAATTTCACGTACAAAAGCTTGCCACAAACCCCTCCCTGTGGTTAAGCAGAAACTGTCACATTAATAAACCAGCAAGGTGGCGTTGCCATTTTGCCAGTCATTACCCAACCTGGACGGTGTTCAGCACCTGGCATTCCAGCAGCATGTACTGATGCAATGGGACAGCAACCATTGATGGCACGTGCGACACAATGTCAATCTTGGATCCCTGACACGTAATCCTCGCCACGACCGAGGAGATCCACTTACGTAACAAGGCAAGAATATTCCCTTTCAGTACAGGATCTTTATCATCAGCCTCAATTGAGGTATCCACTGTGGCCAATCACGAACCTCGAACACTGATGAGAAACAGAAGTGTACACAATAATATTTATCAAAAATTGCCTCGTAGAATATATTCTTCATCAAAATTTTGTAGCTAAACCCTTTGAAAAAATAGCATAAATTCATCATTTTTCACGTATATATATTTATTACTAATCAATGTAAGCCTAGCTAATCTTCCCAACACATTCTTCTCCTAACAAAGATTATGATCTCGTGTAGTACTTGCAATAGAACGTTACAGGTTCAACCTCTCGCAAGCACCATACCGTCTTTCGCGACTGACACCCAGACTCCTATCACCCAGTGCGCACTGAAACAGCCACCCAAGCCAACCCTAACAGCACTGTCGGCAGCCCCTCGGGCCTGTAATTACAGATTCCCCAGATTTCTCCGCCGTCCCTTATGACAAACCCCGACCCCACCCCCACCCACCCTCCCGTTGTGAACTTCACAACGTAGTCACCGCTTTCTCCGCTCGCACCCGAGAACGGCGTTGACACTCGCTTATGGCTGATCCTAAAGAGTCCTTCGACGCCGCCATGAGGTGCCAGGGCCGGCGCCTACTAAGAACAAAGCGGCTCCAGCCACCCCAAATCGCGTCAACCGCATCGAGTCCTCCACGCGGTATAAATGCCGTGCCACTTCAAACTCTCAGCATCCATCAATCGCACTCCGAGACTCATCTCTGCATAGCAGCTTTCCATCAGCGCTGCTTAGCTGCTCCCCATCTCGAACAGCTTTTGAGAATTCTCAGAAGCGGTTTTCAAATAGCTGCTTCCCGGCTCCAACAGCGGTATACAGAAATCCTTCCTCTCAGCCTCCAACTCCAGCACAGGCCATGGCTCGTTCGTTCCTCCCCTTCCTCCTCCTCGCCGCTCTCCTCGTCGCAATAACAGCATCGTCATCTGCCGAAGCAGCAGCAGCAGTGAGCATCGGGGGAAGCGCCAGCGCCGCGGCAAGCGCTGCGGTTCGCGCCGGCGCCGCTGCCAGCAGGCGTGCAGGCCGCGGGTTCGGATTAGGTCTGGGGGTCAGCGGATGCGTGTCGCTCGGAATTGGCATCGGCGGGGGTCGCGGCGGCAGCAACGGACGGCCTTGCAACGACAATCGGGGTGGCAGTAGCGGCGGAAGCAGCGGCGGTGGCTCTTCAGGCGGCTCTTCAGGTGGTTCTTCAGGCGGTTCTCCTGCATGTGACCATGGCAAGTGTGACGATAACGCGGGGTCGCTGGACTACTGGCGAATCCCTGAGCACAGCGAGTGTGCGAGCATGGCAGCAGCGGCGGGAGGCGTGGCAGTGCCTGTGGACGCAGATAAGGCGTGGTGCGTGGGGGGTGGCGACACGGAGATCTTATACGCGAGGGACTGCTGCGGTCTGTGCAATAGCACCAATGCGACTGCCTCTGGGGATCCGTTCAACTGCCGCTTCTGGGTGCACATCCCGTGAGTACCACATTCCGTTAGTAGCACATAACATTCCATTAGTGAAACATCTCATTAGTACACCCACGCGAGGTTCGTTGCTCATTTTCCGTCCTGCCTTTTTGAGTTTTTTCTGAGTTCAAGTGCATCCACTTAAACACATTTCTCTCTTCTCTTTCACCTCCTTGAAATCTTACTTTTTTTCAGCCGTCCATCAACTCTTATGTTCCAACATTCGCAGCTCGCCTTTCTTCCCCCCTCTTCTCCATTCCTCCCTCACCACTCCCTTCCCCCTCAAACTGCACCCCTGTTGTGCTCTCCAGATCCAACGGCTCCTGTGTTCTGATCCCATCGATTGACGGTCTCCAGCCCGTCAAATCCAACCTAACCAGCGCAACCAGTGGGCCCAAGGTTCGCGTTGGCAAGCGGTGCCCATTCGGGGAGAACGACCCGCACTTCCTGGGCGCGCACGGCACGCGGTTCGACTTCAACGGGCTGCCCGAGAAGAACTTCTGCCTGTACACGGACCGCGCGGTGCACGTGAACATGGGCATGCGCGGGTACCTCGACTCGCGCTCCACGATTAACTCTCACGCCCTCGTCGTCAACGGCTCCGCTGTGCGCACCTGGATCCGCCAGCTCGCCCTCATGTGGACCGACGACCGCGCCGACAGCGACAACACCGTGTCCGCCAAGCCCGCCTCCCACTCGCTGGTGCTCACGGCGCGCGACAGCAAGGAGCAGCTCCGCGGCGAGTCTGGGTTCCTCGCTTCGGCGGAGCTCGACGGCACGCCTCTCCCCCGCCTTGCTCCTGGTGAGACGCGCAGCCTGGCCGGCGGGAAGGTGCTTGTGGAGTTTGTGGGAGAGGAGAAGACCGGGCCATACGACGTGGACCACTATTATCTGAGCATCAAGGGGCTCCTGGAGTTGGACCTGAAGCTGCGTCCCGCGCACCCTCTGTTGCAAACACCTGACGACGCCCAGGTGCACATCAACGTGATGTTTCAGGAGGCGAATCCGAGCAGCAGCGTGCACGGCGTGATGGGGCAGACGTACCGTGGCGGCAGGGAGGCGCGCACAGTGGAGTTCTCTCGGCTCGCTGCCATGCTGCACCACCCCGTGTCCGCCGATGGCGCGGAGGGCAAGGGCTTCCTGGACGGGCAGGTGAAGGACTATGAGACCAGCGCCGTCACCGCCACTGATTGCCGCTACTCTGCCTTCAACGGCCAGACGCTGCCCTTTTCTGCTTAAAATGTTGCAGGGGCGGTTTGCTTTTGTCAGGTTGAAGGACGGGGGTTGGGGGGAGGGGGGGGTGGAGGGGGCTGTGATCGGAAAGGGACTATGAGACCAGCGCCGTCACTGCCACTGACTGCCGCTTCTCCGCCTTCAATGGTCAGGAGCTGCGCCTTTCCGCTTAGGGGGCATGAGGTGATGCAGGCATGCAGAATGGTTGAGAGGAAGAATTGTAGCATGAGATGCATGCCTGAGTAGCTGGAGGTTGTGAGGTGATGAGATGGGTGGTGGTTTGACGGTCTGTGTCTTGGAATTGTTGGGTACATTTGGGAGCATATGTTGCCTGGGAGCTGTATTCCTGTATCAGTGTGGGATAAGATCAGTCTTTAGCATCTGTGTAGGATGGGTATGGCTGTGATGTGAGTGGCTGCAAGAGTGTACAGCAGGTGGTATGTTCTCACTTCCTGTTGTAGGCTCTTGCAACCACTACAGTGATGTTGGGTGGAATTTACATTTCATCCATAATGTATGCAAGTGTAACAGTATACTACACTCTTTATTCACAAAGATCGAACACTTGCAACGAGGAGTTGCAAGTAAGGAAGCTGTGCAATGCTACTCTTACAAAGCAGCCATGGGCTGTACTGCTAAGACTGACTTCACTCTATGCCTACCATCTGTCCACACCAGTTCTCCAAATGAAAACTGGTTAGTGTTTTTCTTAGGAGTGAGCTTCACCTGGAATGTAACCGTTTGCTTCGGCAATATCCTGAACTGCTTCGGTGTAACTTGGACGTCAACGTTCGCAGGCATGCGAACCTGCGCTTGGTAGGTTTGCGCCTTCGCCGTAACACTCGTGACACTGCGCGTCAAGGTAACCACGTTCGTCAGTCGCGAAACGCATATGTTCGGCTGGTTCAGACTCCACGGCTTGATCGGCGACAGCCTCTTCGCCGGAAACGCCTTGTTCGCAGCGGCCATATTCACACCGGCGAGGAAGTTGAAGTAACCCTTTCGTCCAACATCGTAAACCAATCCCGGATCGAGCATCGCAGACGTATTCACATGCCCCGACCCGAAATTCCAAGGCGTCGCAGTCGACCCTATGAACGTTCGCATGGCCCCTCCGCGATTGTTCAGTTTATATGCGGTCGTCATTATTGCCGATTTGATCGCGGCGGGCCGCCAGTTGGGGTATTTTTGAATGAGCAGCGCGGCGATTCCCGCTAACTGTGGCGTAGACATCGACGTCCCGCTTTTCATGGTGTACCACGCGTCTTTAGTTGTCCCGCCAGCAGCAGCAGCTACTAGATCCATTCCCGGCCCAGTAACATCCGGTTTAAGAATGTCGTTAGTTACTTGCAGAGTGGCGGGAGGAGGCCGCGAGGGGTTCAGTGGTGGTCCCGCCGACGAGAACGGCGCGATCACCGGCGCCTCGTAGACGGCTTGAAGGGTCCGGGGCCGCGAGGCATGGGAAACGAATCCGCGTTTAGATGCTGCTGATGCACCCTCTGCTACATACGACGAGTTATCACCGTAAGCGGCGGCCGTAGCAGCGGTTGTAGAGGAAGAGTCGGCTGAGCGCGCGCGGTAGAGCAAGGCGGCGTCGTGGTCCGTGGTGCTGGCGGCGACGGTGAGATAGAAGGGGGACGTGTTGCTGATGGTGCGATATGAGCCGCCGCCTTGACCCGGCGGCCCTGCGTTACCTGCCGCTAGGGTTACGAACACGCCAGCCTGCGGTGGAGAAACGGATAGGGGTTCACTTCGAAACGATGAAGAAGAAATAGAAGAAAAAACGGGAACAAAAGAACCCTAGGAGATAGGAGTTATTTTAGGAGAGTGTCAGGTCAGGTTTTCAAAGTAAGTCGCAGTCTTACCTCTGCTGCGCGCAGGAGGGGCAGGTCGCCAAAGTAGGTATCCTCGCCCGATCCGATGCTCATGGAGAGCACATCCACACCGTCCGCGACGGCCTGATCAACGGCTGCAAAGATGTCGCAGTCGTGGCCGTACCCCTCTGACGCGTTGTACCACAGCGCCTTGTACACCGCCAGCCTGCCACGTGGCGCCATGCCACTGGCCGTCCCGATGGGCGTGCCGTCCCGCTCTGTCAGCACCACCCCGCTGTTGCCCACCGCCGCTCTGCTTGAAGGGGAAGCGGAAAGGAGAGAGGGGTTGAGGGAAAGGGGGCAAAGGACGAGAGGAGGAAGGAGTTTCGGGTGTAGGGAACACATCACAATCTCATTAAGGCTCTTCAGAACCTTCCCATTGACCACCACGTAACCCAAACCCCACCCGCCTTTCCCCCATGACTCACCCTGCACACCACGTGCCGTGGCCGCCAGCATCGCGCGCAGAGCGATACTCCCCTGGCGCGATCTTGCCGTACTCGCGCTCGTACGCGGAGAGGAAGTAGCGCGCGCCCACCACCTTGCCGTTACACCTCTTCAGCCCCGTACACGCGCCCTTCCAGTGCTTGGGTGGGGGACCATAGCCCTGTGAAGGGGGAGGGGAGGAGGGCCAGGGCGCACGCGGGTGGGTGAGGGTGGATTAAGTGGTTCAGGGAAGGTTCCCCTTCACCTGCGCTCGTACGTGGAGAGGAAGTAGCGCGCGCCCGCCACCTTGCTGTTGCACTGCTTCAGCCCCGGTCACCACGCCCCCTTCCAGTGCTTGGGCGGCGGGCCGTAGCCCTGTGAAGGGGAGTAGTAGTGAGGGAGGGGTTCTTGATGATATCTGCGGTGGGGGCTGAAATTGTTTCGCACATTGCATCGCACCGCACCGCACAGCCGTATTTACTGTATTCGTGCCTTGATTGCAACCAACTGTGTGTAAACACGCCCTCGTACCTGATTTGCGAAGGAAGGGTGTTCGGGCCAAATGCCTGTGTCGAGAATCCCCACCACCACGCCCTCCCCCGCGCTCATCTTCCCCCCGTTCGCCTCCCACGCGCCCTTCGGCGCGCCCAGCTTGAGGAAGCGCGGGGAGTACGTCGTGAGCGCGCGCACCTTGCGCCCGCGCGCCACGCGCCCAACGTCCGGGCGCGCCCGCAGCTGCTGCGCTTCCGTGGGGGTGAGTTGCGCGCAGAAGGAGTTGGCGGCGAAATTGTAGCTGGGGGGAAGGGGGGGGGGGGGAAGTGGTGGGGGAGAAAAAGGACGGGGAAAAGGAGACAGCTTGGGCAACGAAGCGCGGAAAGATGGAACAGGAGAGGTAAGAAGATGCGTGGAAGAGATGGTTTCGGGTTAGGGTGTGTGGCGTACACTTACCACGTCATCATGTGTGTGTGCCACGTCATACCTATACACCATACTGGTCGACGCAACACCGACAGAAGTGAGAGTCCTTTCGTGCAGCGACGTCAGGTGCTGCGCGTACGCGCGCACATGCGGGTCATCCGCGCGCGGGCGCAACTGCCGCGGACCCCGCCCCTTCCGCGCATCCCCCCCCATGACCCCCGCGCTCCCCCGGTACGTCCGGCCGGGGGAAGGCTCGTCTTCCTCCGCCACCGCCGTCGCCGTGAGTCCCGCGATTCCTCCTTTGTATGCGACGACCGGAGGCGCGGACGTCATGTGCACAAGATACAGCCCCTTGCCCGCGCCTGGCGCCGCTGCTGCGATGCCTGCAATGGTTGGGAAATGTGAAGTTTCAAACATCAGGGTCTAGTATGCTAGGATGCGGGTACATGATGGACGAATTTGCAGTGGTTTAAGCGCGTCCTGGCAGATTGATGGGGGCAAAAAGGCCACCTAGGCCATTTTACATGCAGCATCACTCGCGTATGCAACGCATTATATACTCAGATGCACCGCGCGTCTTGTGCCGTGCGCGACGTTCGCGGCGTTCGCGGTGTTCGTGCCGTTCGTGCGGTGAAACATCGCATTGCGTGCAGCAGCAGTGACCCCGTGAAACACAGGCATCGCAACCCGGCTTGTGCATTTCGACAAAAGTTTTTTCAATAGTACCTTGATTTCTGCCTGTGCCACTTTCTACAGTCAGTCGCATACAGTACTCTTTTAAAACGCCTCACAAGGCGCACCTGATAATCAACCGAGAAGACAACGAGAGAGGCGCTGATTCGGCTCATAAGCTCACCTATGAAAGAGAACATTGCCGCAAAGACGAAAACACGAGCGATCCTCTCCTCGCGCCCGCCATGTTGTCGACTGCCGCCGTGCCCTCCCATCTGAGACTAGTTGAATTGTTTTCTTTTTCCTCCAAACCAACTGGGTTGAATTCCTCGGCGTGAGTCGAATCACTGAGCTGCAAAGTTGCAAATTGCCCTCAGGGAGGAGACTTGTGAGTAGCCTCGCTGCTTGTAGCAAATCGAGCGCGAGTGGTTAGAGGGACAAGTCTCGCTGCTCGTTGGAGTGAGCAGTTTCCGTTAACGGTGGAGAAATCCACTCCGTTTGAGTCGCTGTTAGTCGAAGGTGAGTGTGGCAGGCGGCGGTAGCACAGGTCGATCGTATCACCTCGTATGGACTGAGGAAATTCTGGAGGGAATCGGACGGCAAATGAGATCGTTTGGCCTAAATGCGCGTCTCGACACACGCGAAGGAACGATGGTTAAGGTGATTGTACCGCGAAGACAAGTTAACAAAGCACGAGGGAGAAAGGGAAGGGAGGAAATTATGGAATGAGAACGGAGCTTATTAAAACGGATCACGCACTTATCAATGGCCAAGGTCGGCTGATACGGTAGGAAGGAGAGGTGAAAGTGATTTCTAAGGAACTAGGCTCCCAAATTCTGACGGTGGGACGGAAGGCCTGAGAACACCTCGGCTGCATAGACGAAACTGCTTTTCCTGTGCGATCCAACCACCACCACCACAGGTGCACCAATTCAGATTAGCGGGCGCACACGGGTGCAACCATACGGAACTGGCTCCCGCGACGTGATGCACGACGCACTAGAGTCACACCAACTACAAAAGCCAAGGGCTGGGCTGGCCGATCGTCTTGAACCAAGTTGCGGTTGTTGGGAGAGGGAAGGAAGGAGGGCCATGAAGAGTCGGGTCGGTTCGGGGCGCTACGTCAAACCCAGGGCTGGGCGTTTGCAGGAGCAAAGTCGGATGACCAGCCAAGGGGCGCTGCGAGTGTTCCTCCCGCATGACGCAGTGCTGATACTTGCAGCTCGATGGGTAGCAGAGGGATGGGCGGTGGTCATGTCACGCCAAGGATCGTGTCTTCCGCCCAGTAACATACCTTCATTCCTCTCGACTTGCAACGGGGAATGTCAAGTCTGAAACATGGACGGGATGAAATAGGATGAAATGAGATTGGCTGAGATTTTGTGGGATGGGATGCGATGAAAAGGGAGAGGGGGCAAAGTGTGCGTCAAAAGGGGTCGAATTTCGTTCGCCGCCAAATCACAACATTCGAGGTGAAATGAGATTTCGAACCGCGTATACGGGGCGCGATGCGTATAGCGATGGGGGATCGAAACACTGCGTGCTAACTGGCGAAGCCTTGTGACTACATTGCATGTGACTAACAGCTATTTCTACTAAAGATCGCGGGAACCGAATTTGCTTGTCTCGCAAGCAAAAGTATTGGATACACTGAGTACACGCTGTGCGGTAAGCTACGTATTGTGGTGGACGATGGTATTTGAGTATTGCCATGTTATTCGAAACAACTTTTATGAGAATTGCTGATTATAGGTGGTATTTTCCGAGCAGCCTGATGAGCTCTCCATGTCAAGGACGAGCTCATAGTACCTGTCATAGCCCCAGCCACTAACTTAGCTGTCTTATTCATACCGTCCTGTGAGCACTCATTTCAGCTGTGGTAACACAGAAGGCATACGGTACCGACCGGGAATACTAACTTTCGCCATGAGAAATGTGTATGTGGGTTCTGCTCTTCGTGTCATCTCTTTTTTGCAACCGCTAAAAACTCCACAGGACACCCAATTGCTCTACACGAGCTGGTACATGCAATTGGCGAGGGGAACGGAGATACAGCTGTGTATAACATCAGCCTGGAGTAGTTTTTCATCGCTTCTTAGGAGCTTTTCCGCGTCTTTTCCAGGTCATACTCCACACATGCATCAGCCGCCGTTTTAAGCTGGTGGGAAACAAGAAAATGGCATGAAACAAAAAGCAATTACTTAGCATAGGACAATTCCACACAACACACAATGCATACAGACAGCAGGCAATAGCTTTGTGCTTTCCACACCTTAACACCACCTTTCTGCACTGCCCGTTCGCCTGCCCTTCATGCAACCCCTCCACTCACCACCCCCCCTTCACTCTCTCACCCATCCCACCCCCCTCCCTGCCCTCTCATCTGCACCACATTGATGGTCTGCTTGAGCGCCCATGCAGGGAGGCACAGCACAGCAGGTCAAGGGCTCGGATGACATGACAACCACCGTTGACAATGCACCCCAGACCACTCTGGCTATATGGCTCAGCTGGCATGCACCGTCGCACATGCATCGCAGTGCGCTCTCCGCACCACCTACTTGCCATCACAGCCCCTCCCAGGCTATGGCTCAGCTGGCATGCACCATCGCACATGCACCCCGGTGCGCCCTCCACACCGTCTAATTGCCATGTCAACCACCCCCCTTCCCCGTTAGCAAGGCTCCGCTCACCTGCACTGCACCACGTTGGTGGGCTGCTCACCTGCACCACGTTGGTGGGCTGCTTGACGCACAGCACAGCACGGTACAGGCTCGGATGAACCCCCCGTTTATCACCCACATGCACCTCCGCCCAACCCTGTACACAACCTTCCACCCAACGCACCCCCCACCTCCCCCTCCCGCTCCCCCTCCCCACCCCCACCCCCCTCTCTCACCTGCACCACGTTGGTGATCTGCTTGAGCGCCCATCCCGGAAGACACAGCAGCCCGAGGGCTCGAATGACCCCCGTGGGGCCGAGATAAGGCAGGGAGACCTGTGGAGCAGGAGGGTGGAGGGAAGGTATTAGTGGGAAGAGGTTAGGAAAAAGAAGTTCCTCCAAAGGGGTGCTGGGAGGTGGTACTGAGGGCCTACGTGGAAAGAAGGTGTTCTGAGACGTCTCAAAACACTTGTTCAAAATGCAGCACAAGGAGCTGAGGAGTAGGAGGGGGTAGGAAGGGGTTGCGAAGGAGGGGACTGGTTTTTTCAGAATGAGAGAAAAAAAAAACAGACTCTGTGGAAAGAAGGCACAGCACAACGAGCTGCGGAGTAGGAGGGGATAAGGAAGGGGCTACGAAGGAGGGGACAAGACAGGCCAAAAGGGTGCTGAGAGGTTGGTACTGACATGTATGAAGATTGGTTTTGAGACGTCTCAAAAGCAAAAGGTGCTGAGAGGTGGTACTGGGGAGCAGCATGAGGGAATGGCATGCGAGAATGACATGCCCAAATGCCATGCAACGTACGTACCTGCACTTGTTGGTTTAGTGGGTCTGAGTCGAGATAGAGTACGAGGTACAGCAGCTGCACCACACACACACGGACACAGAATACACCGGGCAGAGAGGCATGGAAATGGGTGCAGGCAAAAGTTGTGAAGATGATGCACAGCAGCAGCTGCAAACGAAGACACAGGACACAGACCAGAGAGGCATGGGAAGGGATGCAGGCGGGGTGACTTTTGAGTCGACTCAAAAGTCACCTTGCAAACGAAGACACAGGACACAGACCAGAGAGGCATGGAAGGGATGCAGGCGGATTCTACAGAGAGGGGCTTACAGACAGAGGACAAAAGTCAAAGAGACCACACACGAGAGACTGTCACAGCACCACATGCCAGAAGGGACAGGAATAGCCCATGCCACTTCCACATAACCTTAAGCAACTGCCATTACCAGCTCACGCCTCACCTCAGCGCCAATGCAGCACTAGGCCATGAAGGGGTGGCTGCCGTAGTACCACAGAGGGGTAGTTGGTTTTCACCCCACCAACACACAAGCAGCAGCAGGACTCAGCACCACGGTCGCTGCTCACGCCTCACCTCAGCGCCAATGCAGCAGTAGGCCATGAAGGGGTGGCTGCCGTAGTACCAGCGAATGAGGCAATGGAGTGACTACCAAAGCACCACATGCCATTACTATGCAGCCCGCACAGCACTCCCCGCTCACCTCAGCGCCAATGCAGCAGTAGGCCATGAAGGGGCGGCTGCCGTAGTACCAGCGCATGAGCCAGAAGTCCGTTGCTGCCACGTCCTTGTGACTCGCCTTGCGCACTAAGAAGGAGCTGATGGGGAGGACGGAAAACGGAAGAGGAAACGCAAGGAGGAGTGGGGGGTGGGGCGACGATCAGGAGGGAAGAGAATTGCATGTCCCGAGGCCAGTTGCCACGTGCCTGTGACTGGCCTTGCGCACCAGAAATTGCGCACCAAAACCCTCGTCTCCCTCAACCCCCTCGTCTCCCTCAGCACCCTCATCTCCCTCAACCCCCTCATCTCCCTCAACCCCCTCGTCTCCCTCAACCCCCTCATCTCCCTCAACCCCCTCGTCTCCCTCAACCCCCTCATCTCCCTCAACCCCCTCGTCTCCCTCAACCCCCTCGTCTCCCTCAACCCCCTCATAAGTGCGCGTGAGTCCCTATGAGTGAAATTCAATCCCTCATAAAACCCCATGCGTGAGTGCCCACCTGTACATCTGGTACCAATGGCTCGTCAGGTCCAGCACCAGCAGCGCCATGCACGCACACATGAGTGACCTGTGAGGGGGTGAGTAGGGGGTTGAGGCGGGAGTGAGTAGGGGGTTGAGGAGGGAGTGAGTAGGGGTTGAGGAGGGAGTGAGTAGGGGGTTGAGGAGGGAGTGAGAGGGGT